AATCTCTAGCTTCTTCCACTAAAAAAAAAAAGATTATTCAAAAGGAAAAAGCCAGGAACCCAAGTTGGGATAGTATTGTTAACATACCATGGAAGGAGTTTCCTGGTTTAATAAGCTGCTCCCATTGTTAGGGGGAAAAAAGTAACTGGGGGGGAAAGCACTGAAACCATCAATTTAGTATCTCAGCTGAGAAATAAGAACAGATTTACTTTATCTGCCATAAAACATTAAAATTTTAGGTTTGATTCAATCCCAACTTAGTTATCAACTAGGGCTATGCAGAGATCCATATTCAAGGGCAAAATGCGATTTAAACCGTGCTTAAAGAAGCTGCATCTTGTCCTGGGCTCACACAGCTGCAGTATGAATCCAAAAAACTGTGTGCTTGATTTAATGTATTCCTGACATGTACTATGTATGCATTCACATGCATTCTAAACACTGCATGTGGAATCTGAATCCAGATCATTGTATGAATTTACAATGTTAGGATTTACAAAAATGTGTCTCTGCAGATAAGACCATATGGCATGCCTGCTCAAAAATCTTGAGTTCTACTATCAAAATATCAAAAATTGTGAGTTATATTGAGTTATATCATCAGAATCTAACAGAAGTGTCTCAAGTATCCCAGTGGCGCTACATCTTAAACAGGCAGTTTTGCAGAAGACAATGGTGTCCTACCTGCCCATCAGTGTCAGATGACCAACCATGGGCTCCAGAGGCCACTGTTACCGTCTGTGAGTCTGCCTCTCGGCGAACTCCACTCAGGACATAGTGCCAAGCTCTACTATTGCGCATACGTCGTGCCATGGCCTCTTTGGAGAGGTAATCTAGAAGGCAAAGCAAGACGTTACTCACAATGTCCTCTTCAAATTAATCATCTCACTGCACAACAATGTAATTTTTTTCCCTTCAGACAAGCATTACATATTAAGGTCTGTGCTGTGCCTACAAGCTTTGATTCTAAAAAGAGAAAGAAAAAAACAGATATAGTAAGCTATATACATAGGAAAAACTAATTTTATGACACTAGACTTTGAGGAACATGCATTGCACTAAAAGAAAGCATCGGAAACACATGACAGTAATTCTTGGCCAAGAAGAATGAGATCAAAAACAACCAGAACAGAAAAAGAATCTAGAATACTTTGATAGTTGCCAAATTGGTTTGAAATAACCCACAATGTTTTAAAGCCAATTCTCAGATATTTTTCTTCCACCAAAATTATTCTTCGGTAGAAGAACATAGAAGACAAGTTGTCAGTTATACAGAGGAAGGCAGGAGAGAAGATACCTATTCTTAAGTAAGTTGGACTGAAGTACTTGCTAAGGACAGTGTGTCCATCACTGAGTTAAGCCACTGTCTGTTTTCCTCTTTTCTCTCCTTTGTTCTAGGCTTTTAATATTTTAAGACTTCACAGTATAGTCAATGGTATGACAAGACAAACTGAAATCAAGTTTAAGATATTAAGGTCACCTGACACCCTGGACCAGTAATTCTGAAGCACCTTATGGAGTTAATGTGAACGGAGTAAGCATGGTAATGACCATGTATACCTCCTGCATATGAATAAAGTCCAGCTTATTACATTACAATATTCTCCCTCCAGTTCATCTACTTTAGAGCTCAACCATTCCAACTCAAAAGTTTCAAAGCAATTCATGAACCCTTTTTCTATCCACAGTTCCTAGTAGCAGTGATATGGGTGAGCAGGTAACAGCTATGCTAGCCATTTCTTGATGGGTAAAAATGCTCCCATAACTTGCCAATTTTAACATGCTTCCTAGGACTCCTCACTTCCAGCCATTTCACAATGATTAGCAGGGCAAGTCCTAAATGTTACTCAAGCTAATAAATACTCAATACTTAATAGTCCCAGATCTGCCTAACACAAGCATCACATAACAAACAGCAAGCCATAATACGATTAAAGTGACTCAAATGAGTGACCCAATAAATTCTTCTAGGCAGCAGGTCAACAACTGAGTTGTCCTGGGAGATGATTACTGCAAACATTACAGTGTATGTGAAGGCAGTAGTTGTTAAAAATTAGGATGGGATAAGGAGGTGCCTGAACGGAAAACAAGCTAAGCACAAACAGCAAATGATACTGAAGCAAATTCAATTACATTGTATGTCTAACGTTTGAATCAACTAGTCCCAGAACGGCTGCCTTTCACTGTAAGAAAAGTCCCATATTATCAAAACGGAAAAGCTTGAATATGCACACCCTTGGAGAAAGAAAAAGGTATAAGGATGCTCTCTCCACTTTTTAACTTCATTTGTAGTCTTTTTAACTTTGTGTTTTTAACTGTTTTTATGCTTTTTATGTGTGAGCTACCTAGAGTCAGTTGTATAGTGAGATGGGCAGCATAGAAGTTTGATTTATAAATCAATAAATAAGAATTATTTTGATAGTCCTATCATATTTTAGGCCATCCTGATTTATCATCTAGGTAGAATGTCAGAGGATAGGCAGCCACCAGCCTTAGTCAAGAGAGCAAAAGGTCTCTCGCCTAAGGTATACACAGGGTTCAGCATCACAGAACAAGAAATCCATTATGGATATGACCAGTTTTCCTCTTAGGCAGAGTATTTCAAAACAGAAAAAATGCCTTATTACCTACTATTTACTATTATTTATATCTCACCCTTCCTTTAGGAGCTCAATACCCCTCCTTCCTCCAATTTTTCCCCATAACAACACTGGGAGATAAGACGGGGTGAGAGTATCTTTCAGATCTGCTTTGTTTTGGAGCTGAACAAATGTACATTTCCACTGATAACCACATTTACATTTCTGGAACCACCATCCAAACAATGACTTCCACATGCAAACAAATGCAAAAAAAAAAAAAAAGGTTATCAGCCATGCTTGAACATATTTGCTGCAGAAAACACATAATCATCTGCTGCAAACAGAACTCCTGTTTGCAAAAGAGGGGTTCCTATTTATTTCAGTCTTCACTTGAAAGGCAATATTCTTTCAACTTGCTTCAATCCCAGGAGTAGAGAACTACCTTGTAAATTTAAAACAAAATATAATACACAATAGCTTTAACACTGAAAATGTGAAAACAAGAATCAGGCATCAACTCATGCTACTTCATACTCCCTCCATCCACATTTTTCCAAAAAGCTTGGAAAGGAAAATTGAGATTCAGAATCTGAACAGCTTTTTCCCCCCTCGTTCCTATCCTTGCCACCCCCACCACACCAAGTCCATACTAAAGTCTCCATGAAAAGTCAGTTCCAAAGGAAGTTCAGGCTTCTGCACCCAACTTTTTATTAAAATCCGCATGCTCCGCTGAAGCAGGTTAATAAAGACCACCACATACTTGGGGCATTATTAAGTTAAAACCTTAAAGGTCTTTATGTTAATATTTCAATGCCCTTTTCCCAAGACTTGGGGGAGGGGGGCAGTTGCCTTCTTTTACATCACAAAGCTAATCTGAGAAGCCAAAAGATTGAAGAGCAACATAAAAATAACGAAATTGTTGTAACTATCCAAAAGAACGAGGAACGATAGCCAACAGAGAAAGAAGGTAGATGGAAAAGTATTAACGAGAATGAAAAGCGAGGCCAGTTCAACCACTCCAGGTCAGAAAGGATTAGGCGGCTTCAGGAAGGATGTCCCCCCGCCACAACAGTACCTGGGTTTAAATGTTTTAAATTATGGGGAAAGGCGAGGACCCTTAGGAGAGCCTCCCGAGGAGGCAACGCGCGGCCTGCCCTCCCTTCCCCCGTCACTGGGTTCAAAGATGCCCCTCAGGTGAGGACCGAGCTCGTGGTGCTCGAGGACCGTAATTCACCCAACATCCTGTGCGATAATTCCCAGGAAGCTTTGCGGGGGGCGCTAAGCAACATTAACTGCCCGCGGGCGGAATATCGGTAGGCCGCAGGCTCCGTTTACCTCAAAGGCGAGCGCTCGTTTGCCTCCACCGCCCCGTCTCCGAGAACAGCGGTTCCCGGCGTTCGCAATCCGGGCTTGGATTCCCCTGGATCCGCGCCCAAGCGAGCGCTCCCGCCTTTCCTTTCCACCGGCGCGTCACCCAGAATCCACGCTGCGCGGCCTCCCCCCGCCCCCCGCATCCACCTCCTACCTGCGTCATCCCGCGGCATTCGTCCCTCCCCTTCTCGCGCGAAGAAGGGGCGGAGCCGCCCTCTCGCTCTCCTCCCATTGGGCACGTCCCTCGCGAGACGCTCCACGTCCCGCTTCCGTGGGCGTCGTTCCTAAGTCTCGCTCCTCCCCCCGGCGCGAGCGGAAGGCGTGCGAGACGCCCGCTCCTTGGGCTCTCATTGGACGCTTTGGCTTCCCAGCTGCACGCGGGCTGCTGCCGAGCGGCTTCAGTGACGTCACCACCCCCCCCCTCGGCTTGCTGGAATCCCGCCCAAAGAAAAGGGGAAAGTGGCTTCGGGTCACGTAAATAAATAAAAGCTGCTCCGAGTTGACTGGCTGAGAAGGGAACCCCGCCCCACCCCTAGCATCTCCTTCCTCCAATCGCCTTTTGAGTCACTACTCCGCGAATGGAATCAGAAGGCGGGCGAAATGGCTCGCCCGCTTGCGTTCCTATTGGTCAAAAAAGGGGGTGGTCATTCAGGAGAGGCGCCTGATTAGTCAAGGGTCGTGTCACTCCCCCCGAGGGCAGCGTGAGGGAAGTCGAATTGAAGCGACATGGAGAAAGTGGAGGAAGGTGAGTACGTGAGGAAGACGCGGCGTTGGGGTTCCTATTTCTCCTCCGCCTCCCGTGTGTAACTCTTACCCCTGTGTGAGGGAAGCTCAATGGGTGGAGTTCTGCCCCATCAGGGAGAGACGTTTTCCCCAATGAATGCGGGCCTGTGATGGTCATGCTTCCCTCCTCCCCTGTCGTTCTTCAACCCGTCGCCCTCCGGAGGGGTTGGTGTGCAGCCCCCGCCATCCCTGTGTGGGGAAACCTTCCGGCGATCCCCTGTCTGACGTGCGCGACGCCAGGTCAGGCTAGGCCCGGCCCCTCGGATCCTAGAGGAGGGTGGAATGGGCTTCCCCCTCACCTGGGAAGGGTGGTTTCCCGATTCACACGACAAGCCGGACCCAGCACGGCTAACACGCGGGTCAGGTAGCAGTGGGGGAGCTTGGGTTCAGCGTGGCCTGCGGACCCAGCTATTTTTGGTATGGGCTGGGTGAACCAGGCGATCGCGTTGGGGTTAAGAGATTGTGGGGTGATGGTGTTTTTGTTTTTTTTTAACCTTTATGGATATATCATCTTTGCATTTTTCATGATTATGGTGTTTAATGTGGTTATAATTATGATTTTAATGCTTTTATTTATGTTAACCACTTAGAGCAGAGTGGAATACAGATTTCAAGTGAATAAATAAATATAGTATAGTGCAGTGTTTTTCAACCTTGGCAACTCTAAGATGTGTGTATGTCAACTCAGTGCTGGCTGGGGAATTCTGGGAATTGAAGTCTACACATCTTAAAGTTGCCAAGGTTGAAAAACACTAGTATGGTATAATCATTATTTTGGATGTAGTACATTACTTGAACACAGCCATTATGTTTCTTTAATGTGAGTGGAGGATGCATGGTACATGAACTCAAGTCAGCCCTATTGCCTTTATTTCAGATTTAATCCTTTTTGTTTGGTTGCTATGGCAAACTTACACAATCACTCTAATCAACCTGTTGCCTTTTCTTCCCATTAGCATTGTGCTCAGGCACAATATCATATTGTCTTTGTATGAGTGTCAAGATGAGATTAGAACCAACCACATGGCAATCCAATTGCACAGAGATGCCTGGTAGAAAATGAAATTGAAAGGAAATTGAAGTGGGAAGTTCAATTATGGCTGGAACCCATTTGTAACACCTACTAGCACTTGCTTAAATCAAACACATATTTTCCTGGGATGTGAATCTGGATCATTGCACTGACCTACTACTTACTCTATCAGTGGGATTAATTAATATATCTTGGTTATATCTACAGTAGGGGTATCAAAATAAAAGTCTTTTTTTTTAAAAAAAAAAAAGAACAGATCAAAATGTTCTGCAGTGCATTTCATCCTATGAAATACCCTTGGAAAATTCAGTACATTCTTACTCAGGAGAACCATCAACAAGAATTATTGAAGTGCCAGGATAGTTAACTTCTAAGATGCTGCAAACTGTAATACAGCTTCCCAATTTTCTGGAGGAGTACAGGAAGCCATTCATTGACAAGGTGATGTCACCAAAAGGGGAATTGTTGAGAGTGAGGCTTCTAGAAGGCAAACCATCACCAGTCCTACATTTAAAGCAAAAAACAGTCATAACCTATTTTTTAGCACAGTTGCTTTCAAGAGACAATAACTGACTAAACAATAACACTCAGTGACCCAGGTTTCTTTATCTCTAACCATGTGATTGCCTGATGTATTGAAACTGCTGGGCATTGCTGCTATAAGTCTAATGTCCAAGTGAGAAATTAAATCGGGTCTCACCATTCAAACTCCAGATACTGAAATCACTTAAATCCATTAATTATGCCCAGCAGCAACATAGCAAATGTGAGTATATTTAATTAAATTGAACCCCATGTGATTAATTTGGGGTGGGAACAGGGGAGAATAAGGAGAGAAACCAGATGGCATAAGCATTTAAAGCACAAATGTTGTGCATTTATTTCTACATTTTAGTTATAGCCTTAAGCTAATCAGCTGTTCCTGAAATAATTCCTTATCTAATTGAGATTTTCCTTACCGGACTAAGTGGAATGTAGAATTCATTAAGGCATAACGTAACAAAATTAAAATGCATGTTTTTATTTAGGCAAGCTATCTATAATTATTCATTAGTACATTTCATGTCTAACATTTTGCCTAAATGTATGCATTGTTTACATCATTAATTTACCATCAGTCTGGATGTGGTCGATCTGGACCCCCAGAATGTGCTAGTGACATTTGGCAACAAGTAGCCAAATTTCAGCAGTGGGATTATGGGGCATTTTTCTAGGTGGTGATGTTAAAATTAGGTCCTAATGGTTGGCTCCCACTCCCATCCCTAATACCACTAGGAAATGTAAAAAAAAAAAAAAAGTCTGAAAAAAATCATCCACTTCCCTTTGGTGATTTCACCACATCACTCCTTAGAAGTTACCCACTCCTAGAATAGCATATATGTCAACTAAGCCTTTGAAAAGAAACTGGGATTAAAATACGATAGGTAGGTGTCCTGTTCATATTATATTAATACAGTAGTCCTTTTACTATCAGAGATATCCTAACTGACCTTTGCTGTTGATTATTATCATATTTCGGTTCCCAGTTCTTGTTTCCCTACTGATAATGAATTCCTACACGTGGAATTCTCTTTGGGTGACAATGCATGCATTTTAAAAGAGAGAATGGCAGAGAGGCACACAATATGAAAGCTGAATCTTTGGTCCCAGTGAATTTACTAGTAGAAAAAGAGAGGCAGTTACCCCAATATTACCTTCTGTGGATTTTCTGATGAGTTCCGCCAGCGTCATGGGAGGCTCCATCTCCAGTCAGATGTTCTGCTGTCACACTCAATATCTTGATCTCCCACCAGAGTTTCAGGAGTCCTGTTTGCTAGTTTTCATTTTCTTAATATATTTTGGGTGTTCAAAATTCTCTGTCAAGGAGATGGTTTCTTCTTCTAATGCAGCTGAATAACTTATTAAGATGTTCTTCAGCCTAGCTGTATTAAACTGCAGGAAATTCCTAGGTGACTCAACATCTACATACTTACTCACCTTTTCCTTCTCAGTCTGTGACCACATAATAGAGGTGTTTACATTTTGGATGTCTTTATTATTAGATGACTGAGAAGCCATGGAATTCTAATCAACATGTTGTCTTGGATCTTGACTTCCACCAGATATAGGAAGTGTCGCAAATACTGTATTAGTACCAGTTGCAGCTATTAAATGAGAGAATTGTGAATATGGATAGCAGAGAAGTTGGGCATTCTGATTATGAATTGCAAATTTATGAACCTTGACTTTAGACATGGCATTGAAGGCAGATGTAATTAAATGACCTTCATTCTCCCAATATGGGATGACTTCTCCACTGAAATGTTATTCAGAAATCCATTCCAGTGCAATCAGTAGCACATATTCCAAACCAATAATGGTGGTCTGGATCAAAACTAAATTATCTGAACTTGATTCCTATTGAAATCAGTGGAGTAAGTTGTTTGTGACTTAAAGGCCACTGATTTCAGCATGAACAAAATCTAGTTAGTTGAATTTGGATCCGACCAAACAGCTGGGCTTAGACTTGTTTAACCAGGTCAGACCTTGAGGCAGTATTCAGCAGCTTCCTAAAAATGGTTAGCCTTGATTATTCTTGTATTACTTCATATATTCTGCAAACCCAATTTATATGGTGAGTTTATGATCCAGTGCATTAAATAAACTCAGAAAATGGGTTAATTCAATAACCAAGTTAAGCTTGTTAGGCCATCCGCTTGTGCTTAGAATTGTGATGTTTATCTTTTTGCTTTTTTTCTACTTAATCTTTTTTATTATTTAATATTTTCTCCTAAACTTGCTTAATAATATTAATAAATATATAGAAGCAGAAAATACAGGGTAGGTAAGCTCTAACCACTGACCATATTTCAAAAGCCAACTTTCAACTTTCTTCAGCAGCCCACTCTATGGAGAAAAAGTGAGTGTGAAAGAAGATGGCCCACCTCTTTGGGCATCTCTTCATGGGTCACCCAGGAGTTATCCCTAGGCTAAAGAGACCTTTGACAAAATAAATGGTTGTTCATTTCTGAAATCTAAAATTAAAATACAGAGCAACTTATACACATGTGGCATTAGTCCTAAAGCTCTAAACCATGGTATATTAAATCCTTCCTCAATCTTGGGGCATCCACAGATGCTGGATTTCAACAGTCATTTTCCTTAAATGTGGTCCAACTTGGGTGGGGGTGATAGAAATTGTGTTGGATTATATTTGGAGGGTGCCATTTTACAAATAGTTGCTCTCTTCTCAGATCTTGTTATAAGGACATTATTTTCATTTGAACTTGGGATGATATAATCAAAACATACAAGAAAATGTAGTCCATACAAAGAGCTTCTGGGTGATAAATCAGAGAAATAAAGGGTTTCTGTTAGTTATGTAGTTTCTCTAATCTAAAAACTTGCATTGTTTGATTGTTTTCCCAGTCTGATGCACTATGATGGTAGCTCTCAGAATTTCCCAGCCAACAAGGTCACGCTAGTAGGAAATTCTAGGAATTGCACACCCAAATCTGGAGGTTGACATGTAGGGTAAGGTTGTACATCAACCTAATTGCTGGCTGACCTTCCAGTTGTTAGCCAATAATAAGGCTTGTGAAGTTCATATTCAGTATTATTCATTAGGCTATGCAGCAATCTAGACTTGAAGGGGGGGGAAAGGTGATTCAGAACATTTGCATACACTTAGGTCACACCAGTAAAGTACCTCCTTAGAGAAGCTGCATCCTCTCCTAGGCTTACAGAGAATGTCAGGAAAAGATGTGTTTGATTTCTTGCAGCATTCCCTCACGTATTTGACCAGCTTCCCCAGCCTGGTGGCCTGCTGATGTATGACAACTTCTGTTTTCCATGCAGGAATGATGGGAATTGTAGGCCATAGTGCAAGTTTTGATTCAGTTTCAGGAAGGTTGCTGTATTGTTGTATTTGCATCAGGTTAAACCATTGTCTTGTTTGGCTTTGGCTTAGTGCAGTGTATGATCCCAGCCAATTGTGGTTTAGTCAAACCACAGTTAACCACATGGGTTAGTGTGAGATAGAAATCCATTCTTGGGGCTTCCTGTCACTTCTACAGCCACCTATTTACAGTGGAGCTTTGTAATTCAGAGTCTTGCTTCTGTGGCAATTGAATAAAACATTTCTGGCTTCTTTGGGGAATATAAAAGTTGCCATATCTGTTTGAGGATGGTAAATATTGCCCTGCTGGACTTCTGAGAAAAGGGAAAGAGTTGCTTCCTGAATTATGCAAGTTTGTGTTTTAGACACCATCAGTATGCAGGGTGGCTCTGAGCCTCATCTCTTTTCACATATCCTAGAGACCTGAGCACTGCAATCACAAATAACACGCTAGAGCCCTTTCCACAGTGGTAACCTTATTAGCTTTTGATAACAAAAACAACCAAGAGTTTTGTGCTCTTGTAAGTATGAATAAATTTGTACTTCCGTGTGTTTCAAAAGTTCTTTCGGGCGCACCAGACTCTTGGTTGGTTCTGCTAGAGCACAGTCCTGCTCCTTTTTTAATTTGGCCTGTTTAAAGACTAGACCTTAAGCAAAGCTAGTTTTGCCCCAGACGCTAGCTTATCACCTTGAATCAGGACACGTTTTGGCCAACTGGAACAATTATAGGAATCTGCCAGAATGCAAATGAGCCATTCGCCATCTGAATGGGAAGGAAAGCTTGGGTTGTCCTGTTTGGTTCTGCAAACCCTGATCCCTCCTCATCGTATTTGCCCTTTTCCTTATCAGACATAGCTTCAGTATCTCTTCCTATTTTCTCTTGTTCCTGACAGAAAAAGGCAACTTGGCTGGGGTCCAGCACATAATCCTGGTGCTGTCAGGGAAAGGGGGTGTTGGAAAGAGCACCATCTCCACTGAGCTGGCTTTGGCTTTGCGGCATGCTGGGAAAAAGGTATGTGCCATTTCAAGACAGTACAGTACAACAGTTAGAGCACCCCATCACCACACACAAACGTGGGGCTTCCAGATTTAGCCATACTGCCTGAGAAATTCAGTCTTTGGAGTCCCCTATTTTGAATATTATTTCTTTATTACACTGATAATAATTCTACTGATAGTCAGCAATTTGCTTCCAATTTCCAGTGATTTGAGGGAAGCTTCTGGGGGACAGAAAAAGAGAACTGAGAGCTGCAGGTTGCCCACCCAGCCCTATGATGTGAGACTGCAGATTAGTGATTCCTGGCTGAAACCCTGGAGATCTAAAGGCAGCTTTGATAGTACTGCACTTATTGGACCAACAGTGTGACTTGATACCCAGCTGTTTCCCATGATCTCTGTGTCCTGCCATGCCTGCCACAGCTGGTACCTCTGAACAGCTGGAAAAGAAAGAAGCTGGTTGGAATGGGAAACAGGAAGTTTCCAACAACTGACTTAGGAAGATTTCTTTCCTGTTAGACTGAAGACGACTTAAGGGAGTGGGTGGTGTGAGTCATTTAGCTGTTGTAGAGTCATCTCCACCTAAGGCATGGTGGATATCTTGAGACATTAAAGCTGCACTTGGCTCCTGATTTTTTTTCTATTTTCATAGAGATCTTGTTGATTCAATTGGCCAAAATCAGTGGCATGATTTCCTGCTGTTCTGAAGTGGAAGACATACAAAATCTCGGTTATAGGTCCTAAAATAAGCCTGACATCATTTAGGAAAACAGAATAAACTCCCCAAACCCCCAATAAAGAAAAATCTTGGCCATGCCCACTGCAGTCCTTAGCTACTAAGAAAGTGTAGCCTCCAAAAGGTAGATTACCCACTTCCAATGCAAGTCAAAGCAGGGAGCAGAGGGAACAGTGGCCCTCCAGGTGTGGGGTTTCTCACTATTGGCTGTACTTGTTGGGATTGATGGCAGTTGATCTAACATTGGGAGGACTATAGGTTTGGCAGCTGTGGCATAGAGGAGGAAAAAGGTAAACATTGAGTCATGACATCTGTGAAATGCAAGAGGTATCATCCCTGATAAGATTATTTGCTCTACCTTTTGAGCTTTGCATAGACAGATTGTACCTTTTGACCCAACTGTTTCCCATCTCCTGGTCTAGCCATCTGAGAATAGCTTGATTATTTTTCTATTTATTTCCTAGGGAAAACTGTTGCCTATCTAGAGCACACCCTAACTGAGAAACTGAGCTCCATAATTTTTATTTTTATCTATTATTAACTTGGATCTTGCTTTTCCTCTGAGAGTTTAAAGTGGGGCACATGGGGAATTTTCCTTCATTTTGCCCTCACAGCAATAGCCCTATCAAGTAGGTTAGGCTGAGAGAGTGACTGGCCTAAAACCACCCTGTGAGTTCTTGAATCAGATTCTGTTTCGTCTAACACTGTAACTAGAATGGTACAATGCCTTGGTTGACACATTGCCCTAAGCCAGCCTTTCCCAACCAATATTTTCCAGTTCTGTAGATTTCAAGGGCCAGAATTCTCAAGGCATCCTGGCCGTTATTCAGAATTCTGAGAATTTTAGTCTATAGCTTAGTGCATCCTCTATAGATATGCAGTTGGGTTGATATTGGCTTAGGGTTGTGTTATGAACCCAGGTGACTGTGGCTTATTCAGCAAATCATATTAAGGAACTATAGCTTAGCATGATAGGTAAACCAACAGGCTATCTACATTGGTGACAGGTAGCTGTGGCCCCAGTTCTTATCATACAATGTAGTAGATAGCCAGCTGGATGATGAAATAATAGTATTTAATTTTAATATATCAGTTTGTAGTGTACCAGTCTGTAGAGAGGTCAGCCACATCTAGAAGAGTAGTTCCAATCTTTTCCTTTACACAGCCCACTACATCATAATTGTGAGCTTTTGTGTAGAGTGACATTAGCCGGAGTTGAAACTGTGTTCCCTGTGAATACTACAGTTTACATTATCTCAACTTCCATAGTATGTGTGGAATTCCAAAATATAAATGATGGCCAAAATCTTGCAAGTTTTCAAGTGAGAATGCCAACATTTTGAGAGATTCAGCAATCTTATTTGGTATCTGCACCAGGCACAACCTGCACTACCCTTGCAGACCACCACTGGTCTCTTAGGAGACCTTATTCCAGGCAAAGGCCTTGTGAGATCTTTCTTTCAGAAAATAGACTACTTGTTTTTCTAGGTTGGGATCCTCGATGTGGACCTCTGCGGCCCCAGCATCCCTCGCATGCTCAATGTGCAGGATCGAGATGTTCACCAGTGTGATAATGGCTGGGTGCCAGTCTTTGTTGACAAGGACAAAAGCATTGCTCTAATGTCAATAGGCTTCCTTCTGGAGAAGCCAGATGATGCTGTGGTATGGAGAGGACCAAAGAAAAATGGTACGGAATGCTTCAGCTGCCGCCTTCTAAAGCAAGTATCACTTTGGTGATGAAATATGGAGTAAGCATAGTGAGGGAAACATAGACCATGCATGGAGGTCTTTAGGGGAAAGGGACCCAAGGAGCTCAATGAAATAACTCAAGCAGCTGCATGAACCTAGGCTTATTTACAGGAGAAGGGCATTAGGTGAACATAGGTTTTGAAGTGGGGTTTCAATAAGAGAAGACATCACGCAACTATCTGGTGAGGCAGTTCAAAGCTATGAAACAACAAGCCTCAAGAGATAACATCTTTTGGGGGAGCAGGAGATAGAGGTTTTCTTTCCCTTTGGTCTCTGTTAATCAGATTTGGCCTAATCTAGCTGAGCAGGGAAAGAATGAACCAGCTTTTGCACGTAACAGCCTTGAAGTTACTTCTTCACAAGGAGATATGGATGGCCCCGTCCCTGTTGGCCTTCAGGAAAGCCATGGACCAGCTTTTCCCCCAGACACTGGGGCTGGGGTGTTAGTGGAGCTTTGATGTGAGTGGGTGTGAGATTGGCAATGGGAGTTTTATAAGGGCCTTGATTTGGTTTTCCTTTTTTCAAAAAAATTATTTATTAATTCAGTTTGTACCGCTGCCCACCTCAAGTGACTGGGTGGCCATACAAATTGGGATAACGTATTATGTTTTAATCTCTTTTTGCTACCCAGACTTGAGAGGAGGCCATGTACATTTGTTTAAATAATTATTAAATAAAGCAGGGAAGTAAATGACTTTAGGGGTAAGCATCTAAATGTGCTGTGATTTTTTAAAAATAGGCTAGATTACAGAGCAAAGACCTACCTAAGACCTTTATTTGAATTTAGTCTCTGGGGAAGGACCAAGTGAGCCTCCCTTAAAAAGATCTCCAGACAATTATGGGATTTGCACATCTCACAGACCATGCTGGCTGGATTTATATAACCTGTCAAGCCAAATCCAGACAAACCATATTATAGCCATGTCCACATTTTACATAAACTTGGCCAATCTGGGAACCAGGCCAGAATCTCAGCATGGCTGCTGAGAATGTCCTATTCCCTATTGTCCCCCACCTTGAGCCTCTTAATATTGGTGGGATAGAAAGTCCATTTCTGAAACTCTCAAGTCTCCAGCATATTTGTATGTTTTAATGGTATTAATGGCAGCACTGTCTCTTATATTCTTACCAGCCATTATCATTTTTCATATTGTGTGTATCTTTATAGCTTTAATAAAACAATTCATCACTGACGTCACCTGGGGAGAACTTGACTTCTTGATTGTGGACACACCCCCTGGGACTTCTGATGAGCACATCTCCACAGTAGAATCCCTTCGGCCTTTTAAACCTCTTGGGGCAGTTGTGGTGACCACACCCCAGGTACGTGCAGCTCCTTTCAGCTCCAGACAATCACTTCCACCACTGGCTTTGGACATTCTGCTAGGCATGTTAACTTTTTTAGTGAAGGAAAACAAGTATCCTGCATTCAGAGGAAAGGGAACACTTTATCTGAACACCCAAAAGTTGACTGCCCAAATCTTGACATTCTTTTTGTTTTGTATTTGTCTCACTAAGAATAGGAAAGGAAACTTTCTGGGTTTGGGTTTCAGGGCAATCCCAAGTCACTGAAATCAGCAGGCACGCTGTTGGAGGGGTGATGCATCATGCTAAATTGTGAATGATGTAATTAGCCCCAGTTGGCTGGGTTCACTACATACTGATTCAAGCTCAAACGACCTAGACTTAAATGCAGTGTGGGAAGCCATCAGTTATCTAGGTGATCTTGGCAAACATGATACTGAATGCTACATCCCCTGTTCTTCAGTGCTACCCACCTGTCTACAAAATGCAGTACTTCTGGAATGACAGAATCTAAACTTCCTGCAATTCCAATGCTTTGTGTGAAGGTCTGGCCAAGCTTTTACTCTCTGAATAACTTCCCTTCAAAGGTGATCCTTTAGTAGGCATGTTCCAGTGTAGCTAGTGTGTGTGGCTGGCTAGTGATAGTTTCCCACCAAACTGGTTCATGCTTTGGACCTTTTTCCCTTAATTGAGTTTCTTTCTTTCCTGTAGGCAGTGGCAGTGGGAGATGTAAGGCGAGAGCTGACATTCTGCAAGAAAACAGGTCTGCGGGTTCTCGGGGTTGTGGAGAACATGAGCGGCTTTGTCTGTCCTCATTGCTCGGTGAGAGTTGGGTGCCAAGCCAAGTTTGGCCCACAGAGTTAACGCCAAAGTTAGTGGCAGTTGTAAGGATTTCTAAACCTGAGGGCAGAAGGCAAGATAGGGACTGCTTCCAATGGTGCTTGGTGTAGTTAATTGCTCTCCCACCCCTTTCTCAGCCATTAGCAGGATGATCACAAAAGCCAGACTAAATTATATGGGAGAGAAGCGTCTTTTAATCCAGGTAACTTCTCACGTAGAGATGTGAAGACCTGGAAGAATAATCAGGACAAAATGTGAAAATCTGAGCTTCTACCCAACAAGCCTGAGTTTTCTTGGCAAGGTTTCAGAAGGGGTTTGCCATTGCCTCCTTCCTACAGCTGAGAGTGAATGACTGGCCCAAGGTCACCCAGCTGGCTTTGTACCTAAGTTGGGACTAGAACTCAGTATCCTGGTTTCTAGCTTGATGCCTTAACCACTACACCAAACTCCCTTTCCAAGAGCAGCATAAGCTGAAAAGTTAAACCCTTGCTTTTAAAGACTTGCAGTTGTATTTTGATGGCCAGAAGTACATATATGATGGATAAGGATGTTGTTGGCTTGAACTTCCTTGTCCTAGAACAATGTAACCTCTCAGTAGCAGTTGAGGGGAGACACTGTGAAAACATCTGCTTGGTCTTTTTGTGGTGTACAGTACAGGGATGAATCCAGCTGGCCTTCGTAGCAGGCCTCTTCTTATATTTAGGGAAAGACCACCATAACTGTAGCAATATGTGCAAAATTACATTCTGTCGTCCAGCAGGTCTGACCTTTATTTACATCCATCCTCTTCTTTAAAGATAGAGCCTTTGTCATCACTTGCTTTTATAAAGACGTTTCTTATCATTCCAGGAATGCACAAATCTCTTTTCCAAAGGAGGTGGACAGGAACTGGCCAAACATGCAGGAGTCCCATTCCTGGGTGAGTATTTCTCAGTGAATATTAAAATGTCTCCTAGTACAGTATGAGTAACTAGCAGAAACAGCTGTGCAAATGCCACTCTCCAAGGATGTCTCAGTGGAGAACAGTCATTTTTGACACCATATTATCCAGCCACCAATTTGTTAACACCTTCCTTTCTTCCCTAACATGATGCTTAAATCAGGGGTTGTGAACCTGCCTCTCATCAGGCTTTGTTTAACAACTCCCAGCATCCTTTTATCGTGAGTCATGCTACTGGGGCTTCTGGAAGTTAGTTTAGCAATTTGCAGCAACCCAAGATAAGGGAACTCTAGATACAGGTACCATGATTGTGGCATTTCCTCTCTGTCCACTAACAACAATAATTAGAATTTGGCATCAACTAAAGACCAGCCTGTTCACCCAGGTTTGGGCTGGGGGTTATGTTCCACCATTCATTCTGCTTTTATTTCTGTTAACTTAAAATGTTGCATTGTTTTATTGTACCCCACTTTGGGATTACTTCTAATGAAAAGCTGGCTGGTAAACACCCAACTCGGCCCAAAGATCCAATTGTGTGATGTTTATTAATGGAAAATAGAAGACACCAAGTATGAATAATAATAAAATTTAAGTATCTGAATCTGTGCTGAGCAATTGACAAAATGGTTAAGCACTCATAATCAGAGGTTTTTTTAAGGCATTTAGAAGAGCCTTACAATATTCAAAACATAAGGGATATTATGTCACTACTGCATCAGGGTCGTTTTAATAGGTAATTAAAGGAAAAATGGCCAAGCAGACAAAGAGTGTTCAAGTATAAAGAAAAACAGTGCTGGAATCATCTTAAAACTCTCGCTTTCCAAACTCATGCCTGGCAGTTTCTCCTAGAATTACAGTTGGAAGAATACAGATTTCAAGGGGAAATTCATGTACTTTCTTGCTAGGTTCATACAGCAAGCTAATATAATAATATGGTCTGTTTAGTTTTAGCTTAGCAAGTTATGTTAATGTAATCATTGTGGTTTATTGCTTAGCATACTTTGCAAACTCAGCTAGTTGTGGCTTATTCCAGAAACCATGCTTAAGCCCTAGCTTAGCATACTACATAAACCAGGTCAATGAGAAAACAGGAGATGTAGATGAACAACTAGGGCATCAGAGATGGTAGAAAGACTTGCCTTTTAATTATCCTTTGGAGAATGGAAGGAAGGAAAACATGGTTCACTTCTCTTCATCCTGGTCTTTGGTATTCTCCTTTCAACAGGCTGTGTACCTCTGGATCCACAACTTACCCAAAGTTTGGAAGAAGGCAGAGACTTCCTCCAGGAATTTCCCAAGAGTTTAGCCTTCTCTGCATTAGCTGACATTGCCCAACATCTTTTGGCTGAGGCCTCCATCTGTAGCTCCTGAGGCAGCAACTGAGAGTGGAGTTCACAATGGCTGATGTCTCCTTGTCGCCCAAACAGAAGTGAATGAACCTGACCAGGAAATGGGAGAAATGCTATCTTTGGATAGCAACAGACTTCAGTTGAGCAAATCATGGTACCTCAAATGGGTGTTAGTGCATTCTTCCCCTTGGAAACGAGTGACACACTTTCTGCTTTGGAGTGGTCTGTCCTGCAATTAATTTTGTCAGTCCTGAATTGAGTATTTCAGTTTCACCCATCAAGAACAAGGTACTGCTTATTTTACACATGAGAAAATAGCATTACTCACATGCGTACGTCTGAGAGAGAGACTAACAAAATGTGGTGCTTACGTTCTGGATTTCATCCTGTCACTGTGCACTGAAGCCTTTTTAGGTCAGTGCATGTCGATCAGTGAAACTCAAAGTTGGCATTCTCTGTTGCTCTGCAGACTTGATCGTGGCTCAGGATTTTTTAGCAGCCGGGTTATCTATTAAATTGTTTTACTGCAATCAAGGCGTGTATATGTGCATTCTACTTTATTTTTCACATGTGAGCAACCTATATCAGTGCTGTCTAAGGCTATATACAGTGCTAAATGCAAATTGTATTACAGAGAGCCTCCCCTCAGGTAATGATTTAGAAAACTACACAGTCTGACTTGATTATATAGGGATTATCAAGAAATGCAGTTTGCGGATTCCTCTCAGGGTTACTGACCTTTCCTCTCTATTTTAAGCATCTCACTTCCACATTCTGTATATTTACATTGTGCTGTTGTTTGTCTCTCTTACAAAGCAGGGATATAAATGCCCAGGAAGGCATACTGCAGTACTCACCCGATGACATATAGCCTTTAATTTTCACAAAAGAGTCCTGAGAAACGCAGGACTAACACCTATGATAGCAAAAGGGAGAATCCCTAATATTTCCTTTTAATTTCCATCCAGATGAGAGAAACTGCTAGAAACTATGAAAGAGCTGAGTCAGAAGCTCCAAAAGGGCAAGAAAGAATAACCCACAAGTAGCGAGGACAGGATAAGAGAGACTCTAGAGAAAATGGAAATGCCGGTAAATTAAGGTTAGGATATTTCAGGGAAGACAAGAAAATTCTAGAAGAGAGACTTAGAGTTCAGAACTTAGTGAGTACATGATCCTCTACTTACTTTTCCCAACCAGATATCCGTCTAGACGTTTCAAAAAGGAATTTTTATCCCTAGTCTATATGGCTAGGCATGATTGGGGTTACTACAGTCAAGTACAGCCACATAACACACTGGGAAGATCGCTATTTCCTTATAAATCATGTATAATTTATCAACAGATCTTTATCTTACAGCTGCTTAAATTTACACTAAAGGCTCTAAAGAGAATGTTCTGGAAGACCAAATAGTTATTTTTCCTCTTCTGGCCCTACAAGACAATTAATGATGCATAAAGTTACGTAGTATAGAATTTCTGGGTTTGCACAATCAGTTGAACCATACATGGCCTATCATGCAACAAAACCAAAAATGGAATTGCAGAGTGAACTACTTTATGGCAGCGTTTGCATAATAAACTTAATCAGGTTAGGTAACAAGCATACAGTAATGGCTGCATTTGCTCAATATACTAAGCTTGGTTACGGCGTTTCATTTTTCTTTCCTGTCTAAGGGTGTTGTATGAACTCAGCGATGAACTAGTTTACTGTTCAGTTCCATTTTTGTTTCTACAGCATGACAACACTCAAAGATGGTGGCATGCCTAGTTGAGAATTGCCAGAAGCCCGATGCTGAATTTGAAGGGTTCTCAGCAAAATGGTGTTGCTGAGACACCTGTCTATATCAGCAGCCTCCATACATAACATTTTTCCCTTATCTTGCACACCAAGCAATCCTCCAAATGGGCCCTGATAGCTTTGGTCTAATTTTCCACAATGCTCCAAAGCAGGGGTTTTCAAACTTTTTCAGGTTACAGAACCTGTTAGTAAAATTCTCAGAACCCCTGATCAAGAGACAAAGCTGTAGTGATAGAAAACTGCCAATAAAATGAAAGTTGTGCTGCTTGTAATTTACTTAGGCAAATTTATATATCAAAATTACTTGAATTTCTTTTTTCCTTTCGCCCTCAGTTATGGAGCCTATCAAGTTGTTGCAGAACCCAGTTTGAAAAACCCTGTTTCCAAGTTGCCATTGTGAGAAAGCAGCATGGCAACATCCATACTCCCCTCTAGTTTTCCCCACCCCACCCCAGAGCCAGTAAAAAATCCAGAAAATGCTTTAAAAGGGGGAGGAATAAAAGGAAGTATTAACCAACTTACTGGAATATTTGAGACCTAAAGGCTTAAGTATATTTAAAGAAGTTGCAATTGATGCCACTCTGTGATACTGAACATTACTTGATATTTATTTTCCTACATGCTAAGATAATGTCTCCATCAAGTCAAACTTTATTTTGGGTGACTGGATGAAGAAGTCCATGCAGTTTTCTTGAAAGCAATAGGGAAATAGTTTGTCACCTTCTGAGTTGTTTTGTTTAACTTCCCAGTCTGATCTACAGCTCTACAAATGCCTGCTGGACTCCCAACCAAGTACTAAGGTCTGCCCTGATAGCTTTTTTGAGTTCAGCCAAGGACACTTAAGTCCTTGTTGCCACTTGTGGTGACTGAGGACTCCCTCAAGTTCTGCTTGACTCCTGTTGACTTCACAGACCTGCCCAGTCCATGCAGAAGGTTTGCCATTGCCTTTTGGGCTACTGCTTCAACTTCCCAGGTTCAGAAAAATAATATATGCTCTGAAATAACGACTTAAAAAAAATGTAAACCCATTCTCTCCCTGTTCAGGGTACAAGCAAGGGAATTACTTGAATTCTACAGGGACAAATGCATTTAGTCAAATCATAGAATTCAGAACATTGCATCTGTACTGGCTACATAGAAAGAAAGTTTCTTAGGAAGCGAGAAGATGACAAATACTTAACAATCAACAAAATGGTCTTCTTGAATATCCCGTAGATCAAGTCCTACCACTTCTGCTGGGCTAAGGCAAGTGATATTGTTGTAGGTATATTCAGGTGCTTCCCCTTCTGTAATGGATTGTGTGTACCGCAGAACCACACCGGGCTGCTCCAGAGCAAAGTCTCGAAGTCCCTTGAGAGAGCAATTACAGTCCCATTTGTTCCCTTCTAGCCATAGCTGAACTAATGTAGGTGAGGGGCTGAGCCAATCCACTGAGAAGGTTCTTAGAGAATTGTTCCTGACATTCAGATAAGACAGTTTTGAGAAAGATGCAAAGACGCTGCTGTCCAGCGTCTCCAAGAGGTTGTTGGAGAGATCAAGCCAGGAGAGACGCAACAATGGGGCAAAGGCTTCAGGAGAGATTTCTACCAGCTGATTGAAGGAAAGAAGGAGATACTCAAGATTCCTCAGGCCTGCAAACTGATTTGAGGACAGGCTACTCAGCTGATTGTGCTTGAGATCCAGATCAAGGAGGTCATGTAAATCATTCAGGCTGTGATCTTCAATTACGGAGATGGTATTGAATCGTAAAAAGAGCCTTCGCAGACTGGAGAGATCAGAAAACATTTGTGGCCTGATCCTTGTGAGACAGCAGTTTTCCAGATGAAGGCTGTGGAGCTGGCTAAGACCCCTGAAAGTGAAATCAGGAAGGGTCATAAGGCAATTCCCTGAAAGGTTCATCACTGCCACATTTGAAAGTCCAAGGAATGCCCCAGTCCTGATCTCCTGAATCTGGTTGTCATTTAGAGTAAGAACTTCCAACTGACCCAATTTGTCAAAGCTCTTTTCAAGTAAGCTACGAATCTTATTGTTTCCTAGCTGCAATTCTTCCAGGAATTGCAGGTCTTTAAAAGTCCTTGGGCTCAAACTAACGATGGAATTGCTGGAGAGACGCAAGACATGCAGGCTCGAAAGACCCAGGAACGTGTCTTCAAAAAGTGTAGCAAGACGGTTGTGGGAGAGATCCAACCATCTCAAAGATTTCATACCCACAAAGGCCCGTGGAGCAATGGCATTAATTTGGTTCTGATTCAGGTAAAGTTTCAGCAACTTTTGAAGCTTTGTGAAGATGTTACCTTTGATGCCTTTGAGGGAATTCCAACTCAGATCAAGTTCTCTCAACTCACTGAGGCTATAAAACAACTGGTGTTGGAGATAGTGCAGCTTGTTTCCAGCCAGGACCATCTCCCTTAAATTGGGTAGGTCATGAAACACTTTGTCTGGTAGGACCACCAAGGAGTTCCACCCTAGATTCAAATACCAGAGATTGGAAAGCCCAGCAAATACACCTTCTTCAATCTTGCTAAACTGGTTGTTGTTGAGACGCAAAGAAGCCAGATTCTGAAGGTGGAGGAAGATATTGGGTGTCAGTGACTTCAGCCGATTGCGTTCAAGGAGCAAAGAGTACAGCCCTTCCAAGCCATGGAAGGCATGTTGTTCAATACCTGACAACTGGCTGCCCTGAAGGTTAAGAAATTCCAGGCTGGAAAGGTTCCTGAAAGCAAGAGCTGGCAAAGTCGTGAAATTGTTCCCATCCAGCCACAGCATCCTTGTACTTCTGGGCACATCTTCAGGCAGGCTTGTAAGGTTCCGTACACTACAGTAGACACTCACATCGTCATTGCAGTCATCAAAGCTACAAGCGCATAGGGTGGGGCATTTCTGGCTTTCAGGATTTGTGCATTCCTTGGCAACTCTTGCTTCCGGATGCAGAGACATCGTCACCAGTGCCCAGACGAGTGTCAACGTTGACGTTGCTCCTGTTGGATGGATAATTTAAAAAAAAGAAAGCTATCAAACTGGGACAAACATGCAGCAGATGTAGAACAGTGTGAAGAATTATTTAGCGCATCTTAAGAACAGGGTTGATGTTGGAAGGCAAGTATCAGATAAGTACCATGAGGCCCACCTCTCAAAAGAAGCCCATGGCTCCCTTTGAGGAATCCCTAACCTTTGCCATCTCTGCCTCTGTGCTTGCCAATCTTCAAGTTCATGAGCAATACTTAGAAAAAGAGAAGAAAGAGCTGCCTCCTTGGTTTGTCCTCTCCTGCTGGTTAAGGATGTGAACTGGGGGCCCAAGGAGAAGGCAATGGCAATCAGGCAGCAGCACAGAGATCACAGCAGCTCAGCTTTCCCTTAAAAGAATGGTCACTAGTGCTCAATAATGTAGAAAATACTCTATCCTAGTGAAGCTAGCAGAATGGTATATTCAGTCCATTTTCCCTTAGGCTCTCAGAACAGAGAAATATGTAGATGTTCCATTATGTCATGGCCTCATGAACAGGGTTTTACATGGCTTTCATTCCCCCCTCTTGGAGAGGGAGGGGAATGTCTCTATATCCTGTGTTCAATTCCCAGTAGAGCATTTGAATCCCACGGAATTACATCTGGCTACCCATGTCTGATGAATCCCAAAGAGGATGAAATGAGTCACGTGATGCCTGATGCTCAGTGTAGCTCTCTCCAACAGGAGACTCTTTTTTTCTGCTGCTATTATTTACAGGGAAGCTGCCATTCAAAGCCAGCTGGGGGACCTGGGGCCAGTCACCCTCTCTCTGCCCGGGGAAGAAGGCGGCAAGGGCCAACCACTTCTGAAAATCTCACCAAGAAAACTGCCATGAATACATGATAATAATAGAGCTAACTGGGGTAGAGGTTAAGGCACCAGGCTGGAAACTAGAACTAGTAAGTTCTAGTCCCACCTGAGGCACAAAGCCAGCTGGGTGACCTTGGGCCAGTCCCTCTCTTTGCCCTGGGGGGAAGAAGGAGGCAAGGCCAAACCACTTCTGAAAAAAAAAATGCCAAAAAAACTGCAAGGACTTGTCAGGTGTCAAAACTGAGTTAAAGGCACACATACACAAACATTTTTCAGATAGTGCTTAACATAAGTTATATTTTTATGAGCCAATAAAGGAGCTGGTTCAGTTTTATGTATTTATTTGACTTAGATGTTGTCTGAATCCAAATCAGCTCTGGCCGGCTTACAGGATAAAAACGAAATAACAAACACACAATCAAAATTAAAAAAATAAACAAACATTAAACAATGTTTAATGCGCAACATGTGACATGCTAAGCCAATCCTGCCATCACATGTGGCTCCATCACTGCAAACTTAGGCTGGTAGCATCATCCAAAACTGAAATGACCACCATCTGGGGTCTACAGAAACTGAAATTTGAAACCAAGTCTTGTAGCTACAGATCCCAGGGACCATAAACCCAGAACAGAAGCTTCTATGAACATGAACACCACGGTAAGCCCAAGAGTCATTCACGTTCAAGATGTGTAAGTGCATGAAGGGTGGCAAAATGCACATTTGTCATGCTTATGGTGAAGTGGCAGTTGGCAGAAACATTCAAAAGGCTAGGAGTACTGGAATAGCATGAGAGAGAAGGAGAAAATTTGCAAAAATCATCTACCTGCCTTCCATTCAAAGAAGTCTCTGCTAGACCAAAGAGAGTTCCAGGGAAAGAAGTGATAGAGGAAATCTAATGCATTTAAAGTTTTTAAAGTAGTCATTTTTCAGACTTAACAAAATAAATATTATACATTTAACCCAGGTATCCTGCAACACATCCCCCAAAATTGGCCAACACTAGGAAATGTACATTTTGAGAAGAAATCATCCCAGAGGAAACTCTAGTTGTATGGATTTTTCCCTATATGCATAAGGCATAGAATTGCTATGGAACTCATAGCAATTTTCCAGAAATTATTACAAGAACAAGGATAGGCAACCAGGGGCCAAGGTCTGTACTGTAAGTGCCTCCATAGCACCTCCAACATGATATCACCAACCTTTGGTGGCCAAATAGCCAAATTTCAGCAGCTCAATTATTTTTTCATTACAATTAAGGTGGAAATGGCCTGCATGGAGAGCATGGTAGTGGCTGAAGGTTTTATACAAAGATGGTTTTAACATCACTTTAGGCATGAGAACATCTGTACATTCAGAGAATACCTGTTACTAATATCTCAATGCCACACGTATCAATGTGGCATAAGGACATAGGAAGTATATGGTTGTTTGAGTTAAGTTGCTCACCTTCTCATGTTTCCTTTGGTCAAATCATCCATCAGGACACTGAGCAAAATTGAAAGGTTCTATTTGCCTCTTACAGTATCATATATTTACTCAATTTGTTTTCCTACTTGGCTCATGCATTTCTACACACTTCAAACAGTTTGCAATCTTTCAAACAACCCCAGGAAAAAGGGTATGTATTTTCAAGTTTATTTTCCCCAGGGTTTGCACTTTTCTATTACACTGATCTTTGTAACTGGTGATGCCATGGGTTAAACCTAGGACCCGCTGCTTTGCAAACCATGTCAATGAATCCCACTCCAAAAGAGCTGTATGAAGTTTGCACGGCAGCCAAAACGTGGAGAGCTTTATCTTAGAGACCCATATGCAGAAAGGGAAAACTGCAGAAGCAAACAGGCTAACGCTGCAAAATCTTCCACCCCATTTCCCACAGCAGCCCTTTCTTCTGTGGAGGTGGTGGGACTGGCCGTGCCGAAGTAAAACCAAAACACCGAATCACATTTTAGAAGTTTCTCCCTACCTTTCGTCATTCTTGGGTAAAAAGTCAATGGTCTGCAAGCGGCCCCAGGTAACGCCGTTCTCTGTTTCCACCCGTTACAAATATAGCAATTCAGCAGCTACCTCCCTGACGCTTGTCCAGCTATCTGAGAGAGACTGCTTTTAACCCATCATTTACTGGCATGGAGCATTGAATGCCTTCAAGAGATCAACGTGAGCAGTACTTACCTGCTGGGAGGGAACAATGGCTGAAGAAGACCATCTCTTTTGGGTTGGGTTTGCAGAGGACTTCCCAAGCCAACTGGTTGGCCACTGTAACAATATAAAAATGCTAGACCTTTGAATTAATCCAGCTTGATTATATTCTTGTCTGCTGGGACAGCTAAATAGAATTTCCAGGTTTATCTTTAGAATACTAGGTCAGAGGGGATGGGGAGTGGGGGGAGAACAAGTCTGGAAAGATCATTGCCTTTAGATCTTGCTTCTAGGCTTCTCAGAGGCATCCGACTGGGGCACTGTGTGGAGGCCAAATGTTAGATTGCCTGTTGGCTTGATGGAGCATGGTTCTTTATGACTGTGAGTCTTGGTAGTAAAGCCAACACAGAGGTATCAGCCTCCAATGATCAAATCTACAGCAAGGATAGAAGGAACTACCCTATATCAATTCTCCTTGGTGCGCAGGTATGAATAGAATGAAGATATGGGTCCTCCTTAAAGTTTCCTGAGGGGGGAGGGAAGAAGGGCCAGACCTCTGCCCTTTGTTTGCAAAGGTCCTAAGTTTAACTCCCACTTTTCCAGGTAGGTTTGCAAAAGACTGAAATCATAAGGAACTGCTGTTGGCCAACGTGGCAAATTTAAGAAGCTGGAGCAAATGTGAGCTGGTGGACAGTTGCTTGTACGTGCTGCTTAGTTATTCCCTATCCTGCTAGCTGGGGTGAGACAGGGGAGGGGAAGCCTGGGAGTGGATTGCAGTTCCCATCATCCCTTGCTATTGGCCATGCTGGTTAGGACTGGTTAGGGTGATCTGCGTCTGCTGGTTAAACAAATCACTACATACAAACCAGGAACACATCCCAGCTTAAAACTTTCAGGCGACAAACAAGCTGGGTTCCCAATTCTCACAGGACTAATACAGTCCTTAACTGAACTTTTTGTAGCTTGCAGAACACAAAGATTCCCACCTCCTTTTCCCCACTAATTAACTACTAATAAGGCACAGATTGCTGATTTCCAATTCTAGTGGTAGCAAGAAGTCAAACATCAACCCCCCGGCCATTAAGAGGAAAGGCAAATTCTACTGGTTTCCTTCTTCCGACAGTACATCCTTCATCCTGCTTCCTAAGGATACAGCAATCTTATTAGGATGAAGGTATTAAGGTGGATATTTCTCCTTTCCCATGCAGACACGTTAGGTATCCTGTTCAGCTGCAACTAACGATGTCTGACAAACAATTGCCCATCCATATGTAAAACAGACCATATAACAAGCTCCTGTAGTTTGTATGGCCATGGTAGGAAGAGCCAAGCAGAATGATCTATTTGCCTGAGGAAACCATAATTTAACCCAGAATTCTTCCCAATCCTGGCTTACCATGACATGCAAAATTGGCCATGCTCTAACTTGATACAAGGCAGCTTCTTTGAGAAGAAAAGATCTAACCACAAGAAACAATTCTTCCAGTCATTCGTATGAATCAGAAGGAAGAAATCTTTATGAACTTGAAGCTCCATGGAGCTTCCTTCTCTACTCTCTGACTTGGCTTCCCTTGAGTATACTTAGTATCAGAATAGTAAGAACAGGGTGTGTGTGTGTGAGTTCAAAACATATATGACTGCTTAAGGAACCCAGGCTTGCTGAAGAGGAGCAGGACCCTGCCACTTTAATGAAATACCACCAACTCCTATATTTGCTCTGACAAAGCTTTTCAAACACGGGCTCTTTAGAGAAGGTGGTATCCATGCATCCTCAAGAGCGTGGAGTCTTAGAACAAGAGTAAGAGAGAGAGAGAAAGAAAGAGAACGGACCAACTTCTTTGCTCTGTATGTCAGTTCCTTCCATCGTTTGTGCTTGCTGTCATTCCACATTTCTTCTCTATTTAATTTAGATTTCCCCTCCTCCTTCTCCTGTCTGTTTTAACGTACTATTCTTGGAAATTATAGATCAAAAGGGCAAAATGAGAGACACACACATACAATCTCACAGGCGCTAAGTACATATTGACACAGTGCTCAGAAACAAAGAGAGAGAGAGAGAGAGAAAGCTGAGTCAGCAGAGACCTTCGAGCAAGAAAGATAAAACCTGCAATTTCATTAGGCACTTCATTTCTATTACAAGACACAGTTATACAAGGTTCTGGATTATTTTTTAAAAAAAACAATGGGCAAGATAGTGCCTTTCATAATTAATTAATAGCCCCTCCATGGTCTCAGTGAAAGCCCACCCTGACTGCATTTTGATTCTGGCCATCACAAGATCTCTGTGTCTGGCAGGAGGAAAGGCACGCGTCCTACCGACAAAGGAAGCCAACTAGGGGATGAAGTTAGGGAATGGAGTGGCGAGGCGAGCTGTGTTACTTTCACCCTCTTTGCAAAAACTGCCAAGATGGTATGCTTTCTGGCCTGGGATGCAGCCCAGAGTCTACAAACCATTGACTTAAAATGATAATCCCCAAAGTTTCACAAAGTCCTGAAAAAGGGATATCCGTGAGATCACCTCCTCCGGCTAGAATCTGCCCACCCCATATGTTCTATAGCAGAGAACGCAGGCAGGCTAGGAGTTCCCACCCTCACGCTTATACACACCCACACCCACACACCTGGATATAAAACAGGTAAGCGAAGCCATCTTTTTCTGTTATGGCTCCTTTCTCCCAGAATAGCTTGGCTATTCCTGATGGCCTGATGGCCCTCGGGAAAGCAGTTCAAATGCTGCTGAGGATGGAACTGTTTACTGACTTACAGTGTTGTTTTTCCCAATAACCGACGTGTGAGTGCTTCATTAGGAAAGTTAGGTTATTTTGCTACTTACTGGTGCATTGATTTAGCTAGATTTGTATTTCTTTATCATTGGTCTTTGATTATGCCAGCTGGTCAGAGCAGTATGATTGAGGTAGCATATAAGTCTCAGTGATCAGACAGACAGACCAAACACAACGTGCATTTGTGCTTTTAATTTAAGCCTGTGTCATGGGCATCTGTAAGAAAGGGGCAAGGGAGAGCAAGTGACATCAAGCACCGTCCCACAAAGACGTGGATTACCGATCGAACGCATTTGCATCATGACACACATGACGCCATTGGGGCATCTACCGGGCCCCTATGGTTTGCAGGGTGGATGTTCCCAGCTGGTGGGTTTATTTGAGTTTCATTCTGTGGCTTTTCTGATTGGTTTCAGATTTTACTTCCTTGTATTTGAGGGCATTATTTTCGCACACCTTACACAGAGTGCTGACTTTGGGATGATATAAGCATGTAGTAAATAAAATGAGGAGTTAGACGATTCAAGAAAAGCTGAGAGGATATGGAAGAATTATAAAATCATGATCATTTGATTCTGTAGAAGAAGGTGGAATTCAAACCAGGAGATGATAATAAGTCCAGGAAAAGGACTTATTACAGTAGCCAGGTGCGTTAGATATTGGTTCCAATAACCCTTAGACAGCATGACCAACCTCCATGCTTATGAGAATTGAAATCCAAGATATCTAAAGATAGCCATATTAGGAAAGTTGGATTAAAGTTCCTTAATAGCCAACCATCAACCTCGACAGCCATTCCTGTTATTAGAAAAAAATTCAAGTTCAAGGTAGTCCTCGCTTAATGACCTTAACTGGGATCTGCAACTCCACCACTAAGCAAAGCAGTTGCTAGGTGGAAAATCACACAACCACAACTGTGTTTTCCGGCTGGAAAGAGACAAGACTACTCAGTTTCCCATCTTCAGCTTTTGTTTGCCTCCTAACCACTTCCCACCCTTTGTAACGCTCAAATGCCTTACTGTCTTGTACACATTGAAAGCAATGTGATCGCACTGGCAGCTGGGGCTGGGAGCTGTGGACATGCTATGCAAACAGCTTACTCTCTTGAAATCCCTTCCTCTCCAATCTCTCCACTCTGTGAGGTGGGGGAAGGATCAGGCAAAGGAGAGATTGCCTACAGAAATCACTTGCTTCTCCCCCCACCCCCGCTTTGCAGAGCGAGGAAGAGAGGAATTTTATAATTTCCTAAATGTCATAATTTATAAAATCACAAGAGAGGAAGCTGTTTGTTCTTCTATACATTGAAAGCAATGTGATCGCACCAACAACCCAGGGCTGGGAGCCACAGGCATGCTACACAAACAGCAAACAGTACACCCTTGAAAATTATTTTTTCAGTACTGTTGTAACTTTGAATGGTCGCTGAACAAGTGGTTGATAAGTGAGGACTACCTGTATAAGGTTTAGAATGGCTAGGAAACAATCTGGAAATATCTTTGGAAAGCCATGTGAGCAAAGGTGATTTGTGCATAAAGTCTTAATCCATCCATCTTAAAGGAAGCAAGCTACACCCCATCCCACCCTACCCTCCAGACATACACACACACACGTAAAACAATTGATTTTTTTTTTTAAATTAGAGACACAGGAGAAAGATAATTAACTTTCTGCCATGGAATCTATCTTCTAAGGATCTAGTGTGAGGCAGTCAGAATAGTTTTGTAAAAGCTCTATGTTATTTTTCTGGAGTTTGTAAATGAACCCAGGTGTTATATGAATGCTTGAGCCTCAACTGTCCCCTCCTCCCAAGGGATCCAAACATGGGTAAGAATCAATGCTGAAACTTTTCACCACTCAGAGAAGTAGGGAACAGGCCACCAAAATCAAGTCACTTGTGGAACCACAGCCTGGATTAACCCAATGATAGGTGGAACTGTCCTAAATAACGTTTCGTAGCAATACCCAAGCTGATTTCTAGTGTCATCTTCTAAAAATGCACCACCCCAGTTTTTCAGTTGCAGTCCCTTCCGATTCATTGGAATGTCCTGCTCTGGGGAATGCCTTTTTAAATATTAAACTCAGGTGTAGAGCAAATATAGTTTTGGTCCCTGGCACATCTAAGAAGGGCTCAGAAAGCATTCTGCCTTAAACCCTGGAGAACATCTGCCAGCCAGTGTCAATAATATAGATTGATGTACCAACCAGGTGAGTCAAAGTAATACAGCTTCCTA